TTTCTGGAAGCAGTTTGTCTCCTTGTGTTCTGTTTCAGAAAAGTTTTTAAGCTGTAAGACACCCGTGGCATACTTTGTTCTCTCTCTCTTCCCACTCCGCCTTAAGATACTGGTATGCCCACAGCTCCATGTTTGCAGAGAGTACACTACTGACTGGTATTTTTCCACCATGGACCACCAAGTTGGGGTTGTAGAAGCATGTCCAGGGATTTTGTAGAGGAAGCTAAGTCCACTCTATTCTGCCTGTCTGATCTATTGCAAGATAGATGGCTGATTCTTCAGCTTAGCTTTAAAGTATTTTAAGAACTTTACAAGTATTTTAAAATGGAAGGCACAGATGATGTTCTACAACTATTGCACCTGAAAGAAAAAGAGGTGTAGTATCTATGTTTTGCAGAGTTATCAACATTGCTGTTACTGGCAATTTTCTGGGGAGTAAGCTTCTTTATAAGAGGTTTTCTGCAAATGTGGAGTGACTTCACTCTCCTACAAGCAATCTCAAGCAACTCAATTTTCCTGTACCACAATTTCTGATGTGCACAAAGATATGATATGCTTTTCTTTAACACAGAAGTATTGCAAGGGCAGTGGAGATTGCAAGACCTCAGTAGGGGCTGTGTGAATACCTTTTATAAGTAGGGATGAAATAGGGGAGATGGCTAAGGGCAAAACAAGTGTTCCTTCTCTTTCTTCACAAAATCGGAGGTGGCTGCTGTTCCTGTATGAAGCAGTAGTAAGTTGTTGTATTCTCCCTTCAGGCAGCTGCCACCAGCCCTACCTCCTGCTGTTGACCCAGAGAGCAACTTGCAGTGAGGATAGGCCTTCCTAGGGAGAAAGGGAGAGGTCTGGAGCCCCCAAATGGCAAAAATCAGTTTAACAAAAAAAGACCAAGATTGGTCATTTATTCACCAGGGCCATCGCTTTGCTGCAAAGAAAAGGTCAGCAGGAAAATAGTGCCTGCTGTGCTTTAGATCTGAAATGTTCCTTCGTTTCTCAGCCCTGTGTGAGTGGATCTATTTGTGTCTGCTGTCCTCTGATAGTGAGAATTGTATGGTAAGGGTTATATAACACGTTTCCTGTTTTTATCCAAAGTGAGGTTGGTAACTGAGTAGCAAAGTGTAGAGTCACTCCAAATCCCATGTCTTCAGAATGTGTTAGGGGTATGTTTCAGATATCATGGCAATACTGGTGAAGTTACATAGCGTAATGATTACAGAACTGACAGTGCCATTTTCAATAAGATGATTGCTTAACTTCTAATGGAGCTGCACATTAAAAAAGCTTTGGGTTGAAGATCTCTCCCCCCCCCCCTCCCCCCCTTTCTTTTTTTCCTCCCTCACTGATAACCTGAGAATATCTGTGTGCAGAGATTTCTGACTGGTGTAGGAGTGGTTTCAAAGAGCATCATTTGTAGTTCATTGGTGACCATGGAACAGTAAGCAAGGGACTTATGAAAGAGCTTGTAACTGGCTTCAGCCAGCATTTCAGTGAGGTGTATTATGCCATAATTTTAGAGATGGGAAACCAGAAGATATGACAGAGAAGATGTCAGAAGCATCTTGGGGAGTTAAGAATATGAATTCATTGGACTTACTGAATTTTCCATTGGGGAAATTTGTGCTTTTCCATTTGGAAAAGAGATTTTCCTCAAGTATCATAATGAGCCACTGGAAAAAGCTAGGACTAAAAGATTTTCAAGCTTCACAGGAGAAGTGCTGATGGTGAAGCTTACATAGCTACTGCAAGCACCATGGGGCTTGTCACCACTCAGGATGCGCCTCAGGAACTTGTGCATGCCAGTTTATGAAACATATAACACTTCGTATTCTTGTAACGTCCACTGAGTTTATCCTAGAACTCATCACATGTTTGAAACTAATATGTATTTGCATACTTCTTTATTGAGAAGCTCTAAGAAAGATGTCTAGCTATTATTAAAAACTATGCTTGTTTAGAGTACGTAAAAGTAAGGCCATTTTAATTCTTTTTTTTTTTTTTTTTTTTTTTCTCTTTTAAATACTCTTAGTGATTAATGAAACCCAGATTGACTAATCACCCCCCAGACTTTAAAGCAAAAATATCCTATGTGGATTAATAGCCACCTATGAGATTTTTCTGACATACTGGAAATTTCTGCAGGAAAGCCAGGGGCTCACAGAAGGATGTCGGGATTAAAAAGGAAACTGTTCTATGATTATATGGACTCTTCTCAATCTTGCACCTTCCGTGGCTTGTTCTACTTCATTCTTATCCCATGTTCCACAAGCACTTGTGCATGAGAGTTATCAGATTACTGCTTAATGACAAACATGGCCCAGAAGTTTTTTTTCTCAGTCTATGGTATTTGTTTAAACAGCCCCATGGTGATAGGATTATAGAATATCCCAAGTTAGAAGGGACCTACAAGGATCATCGAGTCCAACTCCTAAGAGGATATTTAAATCCTCTTTGCCTATCAATATTATTACATTTACAAATAAAAGTTGAACACTTTGTGGGTAATATGGCGTAGGACTCTGTTGTGCAGGTTCCCAAGATGGTTTCTGTACCTGATGCATAAAGACCTGCTCAGCTGCTTTAGGTTTGTAAAAGAATCTCTGCTTCATTTACACTGTAGCTTTGTAGGAAACCACAGAGTACTTTCCCATCCTCAGCAAAGCTGGTTTGTGACTAAGATTATGAAATATGAAAAGCTTATTGATAGAAGTTAAGAAATAAATAAAAATAAGAGCAGTGAAGGCAAAAAGCAAGACTTGCAAAATGTTGTTGCCACATGCTAAGCTTTGTAGGAGGTATCTGAGTGGATTAAGACACTTATAATTGCTTGATACTGGAAATCTCCATCTCAGGTTAAAAAAAAAGAAAAGAAGATTTGGAAATTTTTATAACATTGAATTTCTCTATTAATTAGGACATGAGCCATGTAGTCCAGTAGTTAAAGCCAACGGCTTGGCAATAAGAAGACCGTGGTGTTCTAATTATGCTGTTTGGATAATTTTCCATTGTCTTTGTTATTTGTTTATTTTGTTCACATGTGTATGGTGCATGCTTTAAAACGTGAAAAGCAAATTTAAAAGTTTGATCTACCTAAAATTTGCCATACCAACTCTAGGTGGAGAGAGCTTATTTAAATTTTATTCTTCTAATTTTTCATTCTCCCTTTTTTCCTCACCTGTTCAGGTGTTCCAATAATAGTGCAGATTTGGAGATCTCTGTTCTTAATGTACTAAACAGAGCTGATCTCCCTCTCTGTGAAGGAACAAATGCTTTTGGCTCTCGTGGTGCTATATTTCACAGAATCACACAGAATCACGGAATTGTAGGGGCTGGAAGGGACCTTGAAAGATCATGTCCAACCCCCCTGCCAAAGCAGGTTCCTTACAGCAGGCTACCCAGGCAGGTGTCCAGACGGGCCTTGAATATCTCCAGAGAAGGAGACTCCACAGCCTCCCTGGGCAGCCTGTTTCAGCACTCTGTCACCCTCATCATGAAGAAGTTCTTTCACATGTTGGTGCGGAACTTCCTGTGCTCAATTTTGTGGCCATTACCCCTTGTCCTGTCCCCACAAACCACTGAAAAGATGTTGGCCAAATCTCTCTGTCCCCCACACCTCAGGTATTTGTACACATTGATGAGATCCCCTGTCAGTCTTCTTTTCTCCAGGCTGAACAGACCCAGGTCTCTCAGCCTTTCCTCATAGGAAAGATGCTCCAGGCCCTATATTATCTTTGTGGCCCTCTGCTGGACTCTTTCCAGGAGATCCCTGTCTTTCTTGTACCGGGGAGCCCAGAACTGGACACAGTACTCCAGGTGAGGCCTGACCAGGGCAGAGTAGAGGGGGTGGATCACCTCCCTTGACCTGCTGGCCACACTCCTTTTAATGCACGCCAGGATCCCATTGGCCCTCTTTTGCCACGAGGGCACACTGCTGGCTCATGGTCAACCTGTCATCCACCAGGACCCCCAGGTCCTTCTCCTCAGAGCTCCTCTCCAGCAGGTTGTCCCCCAGCCTCTACTGATATGTGTGGTTGTTCCTTCCCAGGTGCAGGACTCAACACTTGCTCTTATTAAATCTCATTTGGTTTCTTCCTGCCCATCTCTCCAGCCTGTCCAGGTCTTGCTGAATGGCAGCACAGCCTTCTGGCATGTCAGCCACTCCTCCCAGCTTTGTGTCATTGGCGCACTTGCTGAGGGCAGACACTATTCCTTCATCAAGGTCATCGATGAAGATGCTGAACAAGACTGGACCCAGGACTGACCCCTGGGGAACACTGCTAGTCACAGGTCTCCAGCTGGACTCTGCACCACCGATCACCACCCTCTGAGTTCGGACAGTCAGCCAGTTCTCAACCCACCTTGCTGTCCACTCCTCTATCCCACACTTTCTCAGCTTTGCTATCAGGATGTCATGGGAGACAGTATCAAAAGCCTTGATAAAGTCCAGGTAGATGCCATCCACTGCTCTCCCCTCATCTACCCAGCTGGTGATGCCATCATAGAAGGCAATGAGGTTGGTCGAGCACGACTTCCCCTTGGTGAATCCATGCTGACTACTCCTCATAACCTTCTTCTCTTCCAATTGCTTGGAGATGGCATGTAGAACAAGCTGTTCCAACACCTTTCCAGGGGCAGAGGTGAGACTGACTGGCCTTGTAGTTTATTTCCCAATGGCCTGTTGCTAACAGGGTTCTTAGAGTCGTAGCCCCAAGAACATCACCTTATTGTTGCATCTTCTTCTTAGGATAAAATGTAGTTTACTCTGCTGTCTTTCTACTGAGAGATAAATTGACATTAGAAAGCACAGAGTTACACTAGTATTATCCCAGTCACTGTGGTCTTGAACCTTGCTTGATTTCTGCACTTGAACTTTTCATTCTTCATCAAGAAAAGGTAGTATTGGGGAAAGGGACTTGTCTTTTAACTGTTTTGAGAGAACATACTATTTGTGCAGACCCTTTATAGAAATTGAAATTAATAATCACTTCTGCTCTGGTTCACAGGAAAGGACTTTGAATTCAGTGGCACTTGAGTTTGCTTGTTTGGGGTGTTTTCACTGAATACAGCAGGAAGCGCAAACCAACAGTAGCTAGAATAAGAGATGGAATCGACCAAAGTCATTTAGAAGTGTAAGTACTATGCTTGACATCACTAATTGTGTAACAACATTAATTATTCTTATAATCAAATAATACAGGTCAAATAATAGGTCAGAGAACTGATATGTCCATAGATATTCTGTACAGTGTGCCATAGTTAGCTGGCTCCAAGAACACACAGTACTGTTCCAATTAATTGAGGGAATAGTTTGATACTTCACAGGTTGGAACAGCCAGATCATTCTAAAGCAGTGATTATCTTCACTGCTACAAAGTGTGTTTAATTTCAAACTTAATTGTATCCACATTTCCGTTTCTAATTAATCCAGATATAGAAATGCTACAGTAACCGAACAGCGTGTTCTTTGAGGAAATATAAGATGGCACACTCCTACAGCACCAAAGTAATCCGATTAAAGAGATGTTTGTGTAACACAGGTCTTTAAAAGTTAACTAATTTATCATATGCTTACTATTCTTGTGATACTCTTTAATTCTAAAGATGGGATGAGAAATGTTCATCTTGCTGATTTTGTTTTTGAATTTCCACTGTCTCTAATTTGTCATGGAATTTTCAAAGGTGATTGAAAAGGTAGTCAGCTGCTTGGTAGCTTACATTTTTGAAAAAGGCAAGAATCCAATTTTCAGTATGAAATTTCCACCACTGGTGTCTTCATGAGAGATTAAATGCACTAATCTTATAGTTAACAAGGTGTGCCTCTGCAGTCTATAGCATGCATTTCTAAGAGGGTTCCTGCAGATGGCCAATATTCACAAAAAAGTCAGAACGGTCTGTAAGAGACTAGGGACAAGGTTTTTTTACCCATGATTTTGCGCATACTGAGCTGAAGGACTTCACATGCTCCGAGGTAATGCATAGGTTTCCATGTGTCTGAACTGCACTGAAAAAAAAACCACAGGATTTATGGGAGTGCTGTCTGTGATGATTGCTGTCAACAGGGTGTTGCTGTATTTGTTACCAATGTTACCTTGGAAAATTCAAAACCTGGCAGAAATGTGCAGTTTGAAATAGATCTGATATTTCTTTGTATCTAAAAGAAAGCCTTTTGTAACAAGCAAGCTGAGTTATTGTGTCACCCCACCACCTCTCCCCCATCTGGAAAAGCTGCATGCGCTGTCATTCTCATGGACAGTATTGTGATCGGTGCTTTGGGGGTTGATTTGGAAGTTCTGGCAATAAAGGCCCACCAGTGTTTGCTCAGGGGAGAGAAGTGGCAAAAACTGTAATGCTGACACTTCCTGTTAGTAATGCTAGTATGAAGTAAACCACGGTTAGATCATTAATAGGGGATTGAGCTTGGAGTCGAGTCTCATGGGTGGAACCTGTGTGATTTGAGGAGACTTTGTTCATAAACTCTCAAAGGGATCCTCAGTTACCACTTGATACAAACCTAACAAACAGATTTTTATTGCCCCGCCCCTTCTCAGCAGAAAAGAGCTTGTGTATTCCCTTCCCAGCTGAAAATCTCAGTCCTGATGACATCCAGATAGTGGGAGGAGGGGAAAAAAAAGTCAGAAATGGCTAGAGAGATTGGATGATGGACTGAAAGATCTGGAGACAGAACTATGACAGAAGAACTGATAAATGCAGTGAGGGATTTAATTTCATTTCATCCAATAAAACACCTTTTAGGGGAAAAAAGGCGCTTTAGTACTTATTGAAATTACTGACATTGAAATTCTATGTCTGAAAAGCGTTTTGAGTTTTAGAGAAACCTGACATTTTCCTTTCAACGTGTAAACCAAACAACAAGCTGTTTAATAAGAAGAGAGCACCACCTTGTGTTAGAGTCTCTATGCCTTGTAACACCCTGTGTGAACGTTTACCCGTAGAGTTCAATCAAAGAACAAATATTTACTTTTCTTATATAGCGTTCTTGTGCTTGTGCAGTAGAAAGCCGAGAGAGACAAAAGATGCAAGTGCAGAGGTTAAGAGCTGGATACCTGGACTGAGCTTCAGAATTCACACATCAGTGCATACACTGACAAAGTTTGGGTTGCTTTGTGAATTCAGATTCTTATACAAAGTTCAGATTTCTGGGATCTGATACTGTTCAGAAGAGCTTATTCATTAAGTAAAATTAAAGTATATGCAGTACGCACTTCGAAACGTAATTGAAGGTATGCACATCTCTGGTAAGCAGTAATGAGGCTGATGACTCTACTAAGAGACTGTTGTTTGCTGCATGTACTGAATAATATCTCCCATGGTGCAAATGTGTTGCCATGTCTTCACTAAATCAGACATTTAAGAAAGTATCTCAAATCTATCCATTATTATTAGGACGAATAACTCTTCAGATCAACAAATACTCATTTGAGAATTTTTTTTTTAAATATATATATTTCTACTGATTTTTTTTTCTTTTCCGTGTACTTCATTACCTTATAGTTCAGGCGGTGTATTCTGGGAGGGCGTACGTCATAGACTGTAATTAATCTTTACTATGATTTTTTGCTTATTAAAAGTAAAACTTTAAAATATTTAAATGTACGGACTCTCACAAGGGTAGGATAAAGCTCATACGTTCTTGCCCATAATGCATTAAAAAAAAAAAAAAGAAAAGAAAACCTTTAAATGTGTCAGTACACCAGAGTTCTTTACTGAAGTATACAATCTTCTTTGGTGACCTTAAGAAAAATGGATTCAAAAGCAAAACAGCTAGGAATTGTATTTTCAGCATCTTTTAAAAATGGAAATTTCAGATGTATTTTGTTTGCTTAGATTGCAGGGGAAATAAAACCTGTTTTAATAGCTCTAACTTGTTTGTTATCAGTATTGCAATAAACAAAAATACTTAATCTTTACTGATACAGGAATAGTAGATATATTGCACATTATTTCAGTCTTTAGAGAACAAGCCAGGGAAGCATTCCCAGCAATATTGTGTTAAGACATTACAGTGATGTACACATAACCTAGGAGAAATGTGTTGCTTGACCATGGATGTATTTCATTGTCCACATTCAGTTAATCAGTTTAAATATGGGTGATGTTTCTTGCATTGCTCTTTAAGCTCCACTGCCCCGATCCTTTGCTTGTGAAGGAGACAGGGAAGAGTCGAGGATCTCAACTATTTTCTTTTATACAAACCTAAGTTGATCATGTTTCATTTGCTGTAAAGTAGAATATTTTCACAGGCAAGTTATATCAGGGCTGTCATCTTTTTAAGATGATGCACATTTCAGCAGATTCATTTGCAGTTTTCTAAAGAAGACTTAATCTATAACTCGCATTTTGCATGGGTAATCTTTGCTTCTTGTAAAGTCCTTTTATAGATGGACCAGTGTTCTGATTAGGAGTTTTCTGAAAGGAACTTAGCTCTTCCAGCATGGAAATGAACCTGGAGAGAAATATCACCATATGATGGAGCCAGTGGAATATAAAGAATAAATCTCTGCATGTCTAAGTTGGTGTGTGAATGTCTGACTCTAAACTGAATTGGATTGTATGAGGGGAAGCAGAAAAACAAGGCAAAATCAGTCTCTGAAGTAAAAAGACTGAAAGAAGTGAAGAGGAATTTAATGTATTTGGATTAAACATATTTCATAATGAATGAAAAAAATAGATGTAGCATGAATGAAAAACAAAAATCTACTTCCATGAATTATGCTAGAGATTGCAATATTTAAGCTCTAACATACTTTTCAAATAATTGAAAACAGTGGGTAAGTTTCAGAATTAATTACGTGATCTCAGAGAAAGAGACATGATATTTATCATGGTCCCAGCAGTGAATACTGCATGCATACAGAGTCTGGGTCTGTATATAGTTATGAAACTCTTGCTTTGAGTATTTGCCCTGAACCATATAAACTAACCACAGTGGTTGTCAGGCTACATGTGTGTTCCCTGCTGTTCCCAGAATCCCAGCATGTGTTCCCAACATGTGTTTCCAGAATATCCCAGCTGTATACTATCAGTTCTGCTCTGAATCCTTTGTAATACATCAGATAAAGCCTGTTTTCCCACCATGGAGGCACGATAGATTGATGCTTTTGGCGAAAGGAGACAGAGATGCTGCAGGTTTGGCTGAGCATTCATAGTCAGTTGGAATGCCTGACTTTGTTATCATGGCTGCATCTTTAGAAGTGCAGGAAATTCAACTATTTTGTACAGCACAATATCTTGGACAAGTACGTTTGAATTTCCTGTGCAAAGATGTCATAGATGCCTATTTTCAGAGAAGTAATTGAAGCAGGTAGATAATGGCTTAGTAAGATTGTTTTAGATCAAAAAATTGTGAAGAGCTTAGCTGTAAGAAAACATTTCCATTCTCATATTTTAGAATCATTACAGATCAAAATTAGTTGGTTCCCATTACAAAAACATTCTCATTTTGCTTGTTTGCTCTAGTAATAAAGTACCTCTAGTGCTCTAGAGTTTGCTATGGCTGATAGAAAAAGATGAGAAAATATAAAAATAATCTTGAAATAAAGGGGATTTTTCTTACTTTCATGAACTGTTTACAGCTGTACACAGTAAGGGTTCAAAGAAGAGGAGAATAAAAATCCTACCATAATTATGTAATGTTCAGATGTTTATTAGGGTAATTTGAATACATTAGCTGAGACAGTATCCTGTTGGTAGGGAAACTAGAAGAGATAGATATAAAAGCTAATTCAATATATTAGCTTTGAAAGCTGTAAGAGGCCACTGTACAAGTGTGTATAGTTAAAAAAAAAAAAAAAAAAAAAAAACAAAAAAAAAAACAAAAAAAAAACAAGAAACAAACAAAAAACCATAAAAAAATAGTCCTTTGAACTTAAAAGTTAAAAACAAAAACCAGACAACTATACATGCATTGAAATCAAGATACTGTTTCTCTCAAGATGGCAATATAAATTACAGTGTTCTCCTATATGTCCTGATGTATCTAACCTGCAGTTCAGTATGAGAAATATGAATGGCATGTTTGGAGGTGAATTTTTCATATTAGATCTGTTTGGATAATTGTTGAGAAGAAAAGTTTTGTCATTAGCTAAAGCTATCTCAGACTTCCTTTGGA